GAATGTCAACATGATAATACAGCTTAGTCACAGTTATGTACTTAATAGCTTAGAAACATCTAGTAATATACATACATGTACAGCGACAGCTCAGCATTTATAACTTTTATTATAGCATCATACCAGCACTCGTCCATTCATTTTAGCCCACAAGGTTCACAGTGTGTTAAATATTTTACAGTCTTTATTAAATATTTTAGCCTACATGTCTTAGCACAACAATCCAACTTTCACAATCAATCACATAGCTACTTAGTATTCTACCTTAGGGTTTGTCCCTATATCAACTCAATCTCAGCTAAAACGAAATTATACATATAAATATCTCAACATCTAGTGAATGAAAAGACCAACTCAGGAAAGCTCCCCTTACTTGGAACGAGAATTTTTTAGATCCAAACTTTCGTGAGTTCCTAAGAGAGGATACAGCTCAAGGTCCTTAATCTCCCTATTACCACAAAATAGAGACCCTTGAGAGGAGAAATCAAGAAAGAATGGATGAAATAGGGGAACCAAACCCTAAAACTCACGAAGATCCACACTAGATAGAGGTTCTCACTTGGATCTGGAAGAAGTTTGACCTTGAGAAGGTTTTTTTTGAGTGAAGAGAGTGAGAGAACAGAGGGAAAGTAAGAGAGGTTGGTGGTTTCATGAGGAATGAAAGTTTTCAGCTCAAAATCCCCTTAAACACCCCTCAGCCCCCAATCTTCTCGCTAATATGAGATATACCAAATAGTGGAACCTCTTTTCTATCTATCATTTTCGCTGAAATGAGAATCTCCTCGCTGCAGCGAAGCTCTCTCGCTTCAGCAAAAGAGCTCCAGAAGGCCTTGTTCTAGACGATTCATTCTCGCTACAACGAGATGTCCTGCAATTCAACATCAACCAAAATCTTCCAACTCACACAACATGCATCAACTTTTTACTTAGCAACCATACAACTTATACATACATGAATTCAAGCTATCTCACACCACAACCAACATACAATCATCACATCCAAAACATAGAGACGTCGTAGTTAAATGAATACATCATTAGTTATAAAAGAAAATAAGTATACTCCCAACATTAGCCTGACATGATAGCTGCAACTAAAGTCTAAAATTCATAAATCTTCTTTGTTAACTCCTTCATCGTTCACATATGTCATCAATAACATGTCTTCACTACTTGCAGCATAATTTGTTGAATGATTCTTTCATTGGACATTCATACTAAAAATGTCTAAGTTTATGACAATGATAACATTTAACTATAAATTTATCAAAACTATGTCTGCTCAACCCCTTTCATCGGCTTTGCACTCAACCACAACCTTGTCCTCTTGAAGATTCGCCATGAGTAACTTTTAAAGCTTGCTCTTCTATTGCACAAGATTTTATTTGTTGCTCATACACTAGAAGACTACTTTGTAACTCATCAATTGTAAAAGTTTCCAAATCTTTTGATTCAGCAATATAACACACCACATAATTGAATTTAAGTGTCATAGATCTTAGGATTTTTTTAATTATATCAATATCTTCAATTTTGCCTTATTAACTTGCAACTTGTTGACGAGGGAAAAAGTGCGAGTGATTTGTCATTGTACTCACTGCACTTGTTGTCCCTTAATACTTTTGCTTCAAAGAGTCCCAAATGCTTTTGGCTATATCTTTATTTAGAATGGTCTCCAAAATTGATCTATCAATAGTTTGAAATAGACAATTTTTGGCCTTCATTTCCTTCAGTTTCACTTTGCCAGAATGGAGATCTGAGAGCGATTCTATTTTAAATTAGAAAGCGTTTAGAACTGCTCTAAAATCTTGCGTTATCTAATATGTTATATTTAAGAGAACGGTTAAACAATCGCTCTCAAAAGTTAAGATTGGAGAGCAGTTCCACATGGACTGCTCTCCAAAGTATAGGTGTAAGATTAGAGAGAGGTTCCACGTGGAACCGCTCTCTAAAGTATAAAGGTAGACTGCGAATCTGAAATTTGAAATTGATTTCTTTTTGAGTTTTCTGTTGCAAAGGAAAATTAATTTATTATTACGTTTAAATCAAAATTTAGAATTGGTGTTAACCAAACAATCCATATCTGCATGAACCAAACAAAAAAAAAAGAACAAATTAGTAGGATGATTTTTAACGTTAATAGAGAGAAAAAAGAAAAAAAAATGGATGATTCATCGTTAACAAAGAGAAGAAGAAAGAAATAGAGAATGAAGAAGTACCTACAGATGTGAAAAAAAAATTGTTAGTGCAGAAATATGAAAAAAGTAACAGAGAATGAAGAAGTACCTACAGATATAAGAAAAAAAAACTAATTGTTAGCGCAAAGAAGATGAATAGAGCAAGATGAAGATGTACCTACAGATGTGAAAAAAAAATCAATTTGTTAGTGAGAGAAGACAAAGGGAGCACGCTAACAGAGAAGATAAAGAGAACATAAAAGAGTAGAGAAGATGAACAGAACTTACAACAAAAGAGACAAACATAAGAAGAAGAAATGCGTTAAGCGTGTTTCATTTATAAACGACTTTAATGACTTTAGAGAGCGGTTCTTTATTAACCGCTCTCCAAGAATGATCTCAAAAGTATACTTCTGAGAGCGGTTAACAAAGAATCGCTCTCAAAAGTATAGATCTGAGAGCGGTTAATAAAGAACTGTTCTCAAAAGTATAAATTTGAGAGCAGTTAACAAAGAATCGTTCTCAAAAGTATAGATCTGAGAGCAGTTCTCTGTTAACCGCTCTCAGAAGTATAGATCTGAGAGCGGTTAATAAAGAACCCCCTCTCTAAATATATAGTTATAAAACGGTTTTTACTAACCACTGTCTAAGTTAGCGCTCTAAAAATTCATTTCTGGCGTAGTGTTTGCATCATCAATGGCTTCCTTTTGTGCCTCACTAAGTTGGGTTCCTTCTACTCTGACATGTATTCCATCTTCTATAAGGCTCCAATATTCTTTTGATCATAAGAAATTCTTCATGATTATACTTTAATGATCATAATGTCCATTGAACTTTAGAATTGTTGATTACACAAATCCACGGACATATTCTCTGTGATGAGGCTATGATACCAATTGTTATGGTTTAGATTTGCCAGTAATAGAAATAAGTTAAAAAAAAAAAAACAATTTGATTGATCACCTTGTTTTTCATTTCTACACATAGCATGCAAAGATATTTACAAAACACGTTCTACCAACATAGAGGTAAACTGAGAAGCACACATTCAGCAAAATTAATTGCATGGTAGTTAATTATAAAGCAATCACTTAACTCCTAAAAAGTAGAGAATATTCAAATTAAAGCTAACAAATAAAGGACTAATTCAGATCTACTGTGAAACTCAAGACATTCCTGAATATAAGTTAAAACTTCAACCGAAGTTGAAGAAAGAATTTTAGTTCTCCCAAAATGTAACATCCGCTCATTCCCTGCTTGCTCTTCCGATGGAGTGCCACCTACGCCAGTCACTGCAGTGCCTACTTCTCTCATCCACATTTCGTTGCTTGAGCCTGTTTAAAAGGAAATGCAAGTGATAGAGTCATCTGTTCGGTTATATGGTCTTACCACTTCATCACCACTCTTGAGGAGGTTGGACCTTCATGAAGGACCTCGTTTAGAGGGCGTACCCCCCAAACGCCACCTGGCTTTGCCTACATACATATGCCCACTCTGATCCAGCTGAAGGTGTGAGCATAGGGGCGGTGATGATGATGATGATAATGACAGAAAGGAAGACAGCCAGGAAGATGCAGAGATAGAAGAGCAAAAGAGTAATCGACCAAAATAAGAGTTCAATAAATCCATTATAAAAATCACAGACTTTAAAAGGTTCTCTGTATTGTTACTCGATAACTGAATCTCATAAAAGTTGGAAAATTTGGTGGAGCTTTTGTTAATGCAGTTCTGTATAGCGCACCTTATAACTTCAATGGGAGAAGTGAGTAACAAAATCTGATAAGGAAATTTACGCCAACAAATGATTCAGCGTAACACACATTTCTTAACCAAAAGAAATTATATATATATATATATATATATATATATACGCATTTTTGTTGATAAACTGTTTATATGAAATGAAACTATCTCCAGGGTAATGATTCATATCATGAAAAGCCGAGAAACATATGCAATCTGAGTTATAAAATGTTAAAAAACAAAAACTTCAAGAGTTGTGAGAATATTTTGAAAACATACATGACCTAGATAATACCACAATGCTAGAAAAGTTGTTTAAGTGGTTTGAGAAGCCTTAGAGTTGTGATTGGTTGAGAACTTGTACAATTTGTTCTTTCTTTCGAACAAAGCTTTCAAGTAATTTGAGAAGCTAGTGTAGCTATCCCTGAGCAAAAAGAAAGTTGTTTGAGAATCATTGGGTGTAATTGTCCAATCTTTCTTCTATCTCTCATAGTCTTATTCAATATAGAAAATTTAACAGACTTCTTTGAACATGGATACAGGCTAAGTTTTAGCTTCAGCAGCAGAGTTTACCTACTAAGCAAATATTTTTAAAAAGAAAGCACAACGGGCATTGTGCACATTCTGGTCAAGACAAGATCTTAAATTTAATAAATGCATCCATATCTTACGTACGATAAAGAGAGAGATTTTCATTCTTCAAAATAAAAATGGAGAAATGCAATGATCATTCCCTCAACCAGGGGGCACCATTTCCCTACACCTTTCTTTAGTTAGGCCATAAAACCCAATCTAGTTTTTGAACTAGCCTCCCACCTTTGTTATATTGTGTTTGCGTGGTGCAGTTGATTCTAGAGCACGTCATGCAAAATTTTACTTAGTTAAGGAATCTTTAGCATGCCATCCTTCATCCTTCATGATCAACTAGCACCGAATTAAAATAGGTGAAAGGAGTTTGCTGCACAATTATCTCAACTGTCCAACTAATTTTTGGTTCTATATAAAGAAATACAAAGTCCTTCTAGATGTTTGTTTGGATAATTTAATGATGGTTAAGGGGATAAAAACCATCTTATTATTTTATGAAAATATCCATATAAGGAACGTTGACCAAAGTGTGAGAGCTATAGTTGCCGCGCCGTATGTCCACAAGAGAATAACTGAAAACTCTTCAGTGCCAACATCAAATAATTGAGCCATGGTACCTGCATAAGTGGAAAATGGATTAGATTTCTAGTATAAAAGAGTTAATTAATGTATGTATCTCCAAATTCCTTGAAGAGACGTCACTATTTTAGCCTTAAAATATATATTAACAACACGACCCAATAAATATAAAACAGGCCAAGGCAAATTATATGATTTAAAAAAACTAATTAATAGGAGAAACCTATTTTTAGAAGATGATGAGTTTATTTTTAAAAGACAAACGGCATATTTTATAAAAGAGACAAGTATAATAAGTCGAGGAATATGTTTTTAAAGGAAATTTTTCTTATTTACTTCTAATCATTATCCATGAACAGATAATTGGTAATTTTCCTTTAAATTATTTTTACGAAAAGCAAATATTAGTCAAGGTCGATATTATTATATCTTTTTAATTAATATAAAGATTTTATTAATCCTATATTTTGGTTATATATTATATATAATATTTAAGCCAAAAGAATGAGGCCTCTTCAGCCAGCTTTGACATTAAAGTTTTTTATTATTAAAAAGCTCCCATAAATTAAAAGTTAATATAGACTGAGCCTATGTTATGGAAAGAACTTAGTTAAAAGCATAGATTTGCAGAATCACATACTAATATTCATTGCAGGCGGTAAGGCATACTGCATCACTAGCACATATTGAAACAAAGGGTCCAATGGGAGGAAACCAAAATTTGCAGCCGCTTTAACAACAAAAAATCCAATTGCAGGTAGTAAGAAAAGTCGAGCTATGATTATGCAAATGAGGGTCAATGGTTGGATACTTGATGATTGCATGCCTGCAATTTCATGACATTTAAAATCAGTTCTCAGAAAATATGTTGAATAATGAAAAGTATTTCTATGCAAGTTAATTTTTGTATACCTTGTGTAAGGTTGCCACCAAGCAAAAGGGTGATACAAGGAATTGTCCCATCCCTACAATGATAAATTCAGTCTCATAAAACTGTGATTAGGAAAGAACTAGACACATGAGAATGTTGAGCTATTGGTTTTATAAGAAAAGGCACATACCCTAGCAATTGAATGGAGTCTTCTACCACTTTCAATGGAGCATCGTGTCCTATTATCAAGTTCCTTAGCCATTTAACGCCACCAAAGAGGAAACCTAAAATCTGATCATGCAAAGGTAAGGCTCATTTAAGTTACAGCTGCACAATCAAATTAAACAAAATTACAGATGTAGAGTGAACTAACAAGTTAAAAGTAAGAAACATACTTGAAAGCAATGAAAGAAAGAATAGAAAAGTAACTCACTGTAGCAATTGTTGGCGGTGACATTAGTTCTGTCAGAATTTGGCGCATAGTTTCCATTGTTCGACGCCAAAAGGATTCTTTCCCATTCTTCGATACAATGGACTGACTTTGATCTACAAGCTGCAGATTCAGATTCATTTTATAAGCAACAAATTGTCGTGGATATGTTTGATATAATTTCTGTTTTTGACGAGTGATACTTCTTTGGGTTATTTTTATAAGAAATTACTATCAGTATTTTTTTTCTTTTAATTATAAAAAATAAAGATTCCATTTTAGATGTATTAATTGTTAATTTTTTATACCATTATTAATCATGAAATTTGTGTTAACAAGATACTTGTCCATTACTTGTATAAGTAGATGTATACATTCATTTAATATATGTAATTAATTTAATCATTCTATATTATGAACATTTTTAAAAGGATACTACTTTTGATCATTTTTATAAAATATAACTAAAAATATTTTTTATCTTAATTATAAGAAATAAATACTCAATTTTAAATGTTTTGATTGTTAAATTTTTTACACTCTTATGTATTGTAAGATTTGTGTTAATGAGACACTCACTCATTATTTATATAAGTGAATATATGTATTTATTGAATATATAAGTTACTAATTTAATCATTTAATATGAGAATTATAGAATATAGTATAAATTTATAATACATAATTACATTTTATAATTGGTATCACTAAATTAGTTGTTTATTTTTTATAAAGAGTCGAAGATAGCAACGTAGAAAATAGAGTTCAAAAAATAGAGTGAACAGAAAGATTTGAATATAAAACCACTTCCACTTTGTCCATTTCACATTTTTATTTACTAAGTGGTTTTGATGCCAAAATTTTCATCTCTTTTTCTGCCTACACAAACTTACCAACATTAATATACAAGTATTGCATGGAATCTTACAATTTGGATATCATTTTCCCTGAGAAGGCGAGCTTCTTCAGTAGTACCAAGGTCTTTGTTGGGAATCTTTAAGTTCTCAGCAACCTCAAATGCCTTATATCTCATGGAACTGTTTCTTATTAGTTGGTAAGTATAGGTCCAGATGAAAACACCACCAAGCTACAAAAAATATAAGGTGATGATATATCAGAAAAATGTCTACATGATGAAGGCAAATCAAGTGTAAAAATGAAAGCATTACCGCCAAAGAGAAAAAAGAATAAGAGAGGGCCCTGCTTCGACAATCATCAGGTGCACCAAATGGACCTCCTTTCTCATCACAGATAGCAGGGATAATCACAACAGGAAGGTTACCCATATTTCCTGATCAAAGAAGCACTCATGAAATGAAAGGCTTGGCTATTTTTTTATTTTTTTGGAACATATAGAATGAGAGGTGTTAAGATAAAGCGTTAGCGAGACGAGAGTTAGTTTTGTTAAACTTTTAACAAATATTCCTAGGTGAAGAAAATAAAATGAATCAATGAGGTAAAATAAATCATCCTTCTAACACAAATTAAAATAAACTTATGTCCCTTTATTTTTTTAGTAGATCCCTTGGTTTGACTTATAGTTTCCTATAAACTTAAAAGGACTTTTTCATAAATTAAGAATCGCATTCGTATCCATTTGAAAAGTTTTCATAAGTTTGAAGGCAATTCAAACTTGGCCTAAGTATGATTGGAGTGAAAATGGAAGGATTGAGCGAGAACAGAAATAAAAATTTACAAATGTACCAAATCTTGCATCCATGTCCAAGTACATTGTCAATTTTCACACCTTCTGCCTCTTCATTCCTTCCAAATTTTACTGTTGCCAACCATACCACACAACTTTGATGCCATGATACCTGTTGAACATGAAGCAATAATAAGACCTTCCACTTTCGGGTTTGGCTTCAGTACTTTTACAATTATCCATCCAAGAATCCCCCCAATTAAAAAGGTAAATCCAATGTTAACGGGCATAAACCACCTGCATTAATTGGTAAACAAGACATGGTTAACGTAAACAAACAAAAAGAACCATAATAATACTGCTTTGTGTCCACAAATTGATATCCTTCCTCTCTTCTTGTGCTTACATTCAAATGATCTCATTGCAATTATTAGTGACAAAGATAACAAAATCAAAGTTAGTTTGTGGTATACTGCTATATAACTAATATCACTTGTGGCTTTGTTTCTGGTCTCAATGGGAGGAGACCCTTTTTCTAATTTTAATAAAATTTAACCGAAACTTTGGCTGAGAACTCCCGTTCTCCTGACAAGCTACAGTAGCCTTAGGCACAAGCTGCCTTGGTTTTTTGGAAGTTAGGTAGAAATTAATTACCCCAAGTAATATCACCAAATGTAAACCTCTTCAGAAAGTTCATTCCTAATTCTGTCTCAACAAGCCAAGTGTTTGCCCGAGTTAGAACTACACATGGCTGATTCCTTATGTACCAAAACTGATATATTATATTATTTCCCCTTTTCGATTTTTTATATTTATTCTCTTATTTTCATTCGGAAGAAAGTGGCACAAGTTCATCACATTTTATGCATAGATCTGTTAGAAGTAGAACTACATCTTCAGAATCATATCAACAGAACCAAAATTAGCTGAAAATCTTACTCGTACTTTCTTAGGCTTCGCACTAGGAATCAAGACTGGAAGAAAAAATTACAAAAGTATGCAAAGTTTGCAAAGAGTGAAAAATTAATCAACAGGTATGTACCATGATATCATATCTTCAAGAGAAACAGTCTTGGCAAAACTTGCAAATATAAGTGAAGGAGTGAATGCAATGAAGACAATCTGCACAAGGGGTAAACAAAAAGCAAAGAAAATAAATAAATGTTTAGATTAGAATAAAGCAGAGTTTGGTCACAATGTGGTTCTCTGTAGGTGGATAAAATGAAAACTTTTCATGTAACACTAAAAGGGAACATCTTTATCTCTGTTATATTTAGGGTGTATTTTTGGATGCGTGTACATAGAAAAAATAAAAATAAGTGAGAAATGAAAAAAATAGTATGTAGTGTCACATGCAGTGTTAATATTTTGATGGTTCAAATAACGGAATTGGGAAAAAAAGGATGGAGAACATGGAATAAATTAGTATTCATTACATTTGTAATTCAAGCTCTACAGATATTTAAGTCTCTTTCTTACCTTGTTCAAGGATTTTCGAAAGTCTGCTGAAAGAAGATTATTACAATAATCAGTTGCCATTAAAGCTCCTAATGCACTGATAAGTAAGACTTGGATGACTGGGGCAGACGCCACTTCCAAAAGTTCCCAAAAACCCATCCTCTATTGTGCTGATATTCTTCTATTGTTGCTCAATATTACTCTATCCTCTTGCTTTCAATTATATTCTCTAGAATGAACAGAATATAAACATTAGAGAACAGAACAAAGAGAGAGTGATAATGAAGGGATACCAAAATAGGTGGCAATCAATGTCTTACATAATAATAGGACATGAAGAAGTTGAGCTAAAGCAAGAAAAAGTACGGTAATGCAAGAAGAGAGATATTAAACCATATGAAGACGCAGGTTAACAGTTAGCAAGGACCAACCATGAAGGTAACACTACTTGTCTGTAAGCGGGGAAGGCACTGTGGAGTGCCAAGTATAAATTTTGTAACATAATGTTGCAACGTTGGATAGACATATCTGCGTGAATAATTTGTCTATTTTCAAGCATGACATGAGTTAGATACGGATCCTATTGGACATGCTACTATACGACATATGACTATTATTTAAAACTACGTGTTTCTCGTGCCCAGCTTTTTAGAGGGGGCAGCAATGCCAAGTCCTTCAATGTTTATATGGTTAATTTAAAATGATAATTCTTTTAATAATAAATTTATGAAATTTAACTCAACTTATACTTTAGTTTTTTTCTAATAAATTTTTATTGATGTTAATATATTAAAAAGTCTTTCAAAATTCTGCATAAAAAACTTAGCGTAATCAGCTCTGCACCTTTGTAATGCAGCCATAAATCTTCAGAGAATAGGACGAAACGATGTTTTAATGATTCTTCCTTTTAACTTTTCAATTTTTAAAATCTTACTATCTACCTTTTTTTACATTCAAATTTTTTAAATCACTTCAGTATTAAATCTTATTAAAATATAATTAAATCCTATTATTTCATTTTATTTGATAAAAATATTTTAAAATAAGAGTAAAATTAATCTTTTATAATTACTTTAAAACATATAATTACTAAATTTTAAATTTTAAAATAAAATTTATTAGTGTTCTTATCTACTATTTTTCATTTATTAATTAGTTTAATAGCTAATTTTATCAAATATTTTCAATCTAATTTTTTGTTTTCATCTTTTAGTTTTCAATTAGCTTTTCAACTTTTATCCTTTTTATCCTTTCTTTTTTAAAAGCATTCTTACCTTAATATATAAGATTTATATATATATATATAATACTACACTCGTAAGATCAAGTTTAAGCATCTAATAATAATAAAAAATATTTATTACACATTAAAATTTACGGCGTGTCACCAATTCAACAATTTAATACTATCAATATTTATAAAATAAAATATAAATTTATAATATATAATTATTTTTAATTAATCTAATAAATTAAAGTACATATTCAGATGTAAGTGAAAACAAATAAAGTTTAGTTATAGTACAACAAAATTAAAGATTAATTTAAAAGAGCTTATAGATAATTTCTGAAAAGAAATTTTAACTTTTATAAATTATTTTTAACTTATTTTAATAATTTTTTTTGCATGGCTTATTAAAATAAGTTATTTTTGATAAATTTTATAGTTAAATTTATACTATAAGATCTAGTTTGGATAAGCTTATTAATAACTACTTATAGAAGACAAAAATAAGAGACTAAAATGAATCAAGTTTCTTCTAAAAGATAAAATCATCTTATGTTCTACTCTTTTATAAGTTATTTTATTTAACTTTTTCAAATTTAAAGTGCATGAGTTAATTTTAATTTTATCTCTCTATTTTTTCTTATAAATACTTATAAAAATTTATCTAAACTAAACCTAAGTCATTATATATAAAAAAAATAAATCATTAAAGAAGTATTTAATTAAACTGTGTATCTAATAACATCCTAAATCCACAATAATTTGTTTAGAAATTTAACAAATGCCAACAAAAGCATAAAACATATTTATCCTAACTTAAACAAAATTATTTCCAGTGAAACATATCAGTGATATTAGAAGAAAAGAAAACCATACTCAGTGCTTCATAAAAATTAATTTGAAGCCACCACAGCTGCATCAGAGTGTGATCTAGGGTGGGAAAATTGACAGAGAACCAATCTAATCAATTAAAAAATGAACAACAGATGAAAGGGATAGTGAAGGGGATGAGGGTATTAAAGAAGATATAATTTGAGAGTGCATACATGTTAAATTAAGATCGAGAGAGTGATTGAAAGAAACCTGGGAATCAGAGTGGCTAAGCTACTGAAAACTTCTGTGCATGTAATTAGTGAGAGCCAATAAGTTTGAGAAAAGAAAGAGAGGAAGGAAAGAAGAAGAGTCTCTTCTGATTCGTGGAACATTAAGTGTTGAGTTGTTAACATGAGTTTAGTTAGATCTATCGTTTTATGCGCGTTGCCTCAAGTTCAGAGTTTGAACACATACACCTCGTGTTCTATATATAAGAAAGAGCAATGCAATGCAATTAAACATATCTCTCTCCCTATGCCTTAAAAAATTAATTTTCTTGTTATTTTGACCAAAACCAACAACCCAAGTAGGTTCGTTTTGAAGTCTACGGATTTATAGACATATGCAATATGGAGCATGAGCCACATAGAAAAAGTATGGCTTTAACATGGTATTTTAGCCAGCTCAAAAAGCAAAGAGTATCCAAGAATCTTTATGGCGAAAGAAGAATTTGAAAAGGATTCCACTGTCATAATAAACATAATCAATTTCATAAAAGTGCTGACGAAAGATTTTTTATAATTATATCTTCAAGTATGATGCCCAGTAACACTTGTTGGGACTCTAGTTCTCTTTCCTTTTTTGTTTTTCCATTTTAAATTTATCATCAAGTTCACAGTTTAATTCCATAAATTATTTTTGTATCATGCAGTTTTAATAAAATTTTCAATAAATATTTCTAAAAAGTAAAAGAATAAAATAGATTAAACTTATTTAATATGTTGAAATCGATCAGTACATCTCAACATATGGAGAAGCTAAGTAAAAAAACAATGTAAATAAATTAAGGTGCATAAATTCATTTTAATTGTGGGAGAAATTTAATTTAATTTTTATTTTATATAAGTATTTATAAAAAATATCTAAATACTATTTATCTCAATTATTCACTAAAATGAGATGTAGTATGACTCATGACTAGGTAATGTTAATGTACTGTTCATTAATAAGTATATGTACACAAAGAACAAGAAATCGATTAATAGTATAATTCATCCACAAATATAAAATTGTTCAAACATAAAATCTTAGTGTAATTAATGACTCTAAAGATATTGGAAAACATGAAAGCTAGAAAACAAATTAATGGGAATACAGCTAGCCACAATTAAAATGGAATGTCGTATTATAAAACACAGCTTTTGTATTAATTGCCTGCTTTTTAATTTCTTCCAAAATTTAAATTTATTTATATTAATGGTTAACCAGATGTTTTATTTAAGTAAATGTTTAAGATTTTGTTGAAAACTAATAAGGAAGAATTATAAAGAAAGAAAAAATAAAACAAAGACAAAAATCTCCTTTTAGAACTACTATAACAAGATTAGAAAAAACAAAGTCAAATAAGTTTATATTAAATGGTGATAATTATAAGGAACTCTAAAATGTGAAAAAAAAATTAAAGTTAGTTTATTATGTTCTAATTAAAAATTAGAGTAATTTTTAATTTTTATTACCTTCATTCTTAATTTGATTTATATTTTTGGGTCGGGATTTCATATTTTATTTAATTATTAAATAACTTTTTATATCAAAGGTTTGTGGGATGTACTACATTGACTATTAAGTTCTTTTCTAAATTTTACATTTAATTTTAAGGTTTTTACTTATATTATGTTTATAAGCTTTCTAAATTGGTGACTAAGACTTTTAGGATTTTACTTTTTATTATAAATACTCATGTAAGATTTTTTTAAGAAATAATTTTGATTTTGAATAAAAATTGAGAATTACTCTTCTTTTAAGAGTTTTTTAGGAAGGAAGATTTTAGAAGGGAGAACAAAAGTTATATTTTAAATAAATATATATAACAAAAACTTAATATATTAATAATATATTTGTCATCATAAATAATATATAATTTTTTTAATTTAAAATTATAAATATGTCTTTTCCTTTCTTTTTCTCTAAAAACCTCCTTTCAAACATACTTTTGGCTATGTTTGGAAGTTACGTTTAAGAAGGGAAGGGAGGAGGAAAAAAAAAAGTTAAGAGGACTTAACTCTTATTTGGAAGTTACTTAGTTAGGAAGGGAAGAGTTTTAAACCCTCCAAGATCTTCTCAACGCTAGTTTTTTGAGTTTTTCCAATATTGAGTTTTTTTTAGGGTTTTCTCTCTCTCATTTTTTTGTACTTTTTCACGATTAGGATTTTAACCTTTTTTTTAAATGTTAATTTTTCAAGTGAGAATTTTTTTAAAAAGTTATTAAAAAATTTATATAATTTTTAAATTATTAATTTTAAGAAAAAGAAAATTATTTATTTTTATTTTTTGTAAAAATAAAAATATATAAATAAAAGATATAAAATATAATAATATCATTTATATACTTAAACTCTCTATCACACTCCCCTTTCTATATTAAACATTAAAATAAAGGAAGAGTTTAACCTCCTTCCCCCTCCTTTCTCTCTTCAAACCCTTCCCTTCCTTCCCCCTCCAAACTTTCAAACAGAGTCTTAGAATTTTTTAAAAGAATAATTATTTTGATCTTATTAAGGATTCTCCACACTCACCATAGAAATTTTACATTAATTTTATCATTCTCCATTCTTCATAGCATTAAAAGTGTGGTCTTTTCTTCTCTTTTTATCATTTTCATTTTTATTTTTTTTTCTTTGTTATCTTATATGTTTGCATTTGATATCTAAATTTTTGTTCAATTTTATTTTACAACTTTATAAACCATAAACCATGTTATATGAATCTTTGGCATTTCTTAAGCTTTATTTGTATTTTAAAATTTCTTCTTTCAGCTCAAGATTTAAATGACAAAATTTGAATATTGTAGAGTGACATACACTTCAATTATAATTCAATTATGTTTCTTCACCTAAAA